TTCAACCAAGCCTCTTTGTTAACTCCTCACTAAGTATTAACAGAGTAACAATAGTGAAGGAGAAACTCCAAGAGTACTGTGCAACAAAATATTCGAGAAGGGTTGTTAATCAGATGTGGATACTTTAAAATTCCAAGGAACTTTTGAACAATTTGAAATCACAAGATTTTACCAAAATCAAGGGCTTAAAAACTTACGATTTTTCAACTTTATACACAACCATTCCCCACGATGAATTAAAGTCCAGGCTTTTTGATATCATTGACAGGTGCTTTTTCAATACAAATGGAACTCGTAAGTTTACTTACCTTGTAATTGGTCATTTGCAAAATCATTTTGTTAAAAAAGCATTCTGATTGCACACACAAGTACTCTGAAGTTGACATCAAAAAGATGCTTGAGTTTCTATTTGACAATATCTTTGTAGTTTTTGGAGACTAGGTCTTCCAATAATCTATTGGAATTCCCATGTAATTTATGCAGAACCTTACGCGCGAAAAGAAGAAAACACTTGCTGTGGCCTTCAACTCCTCATTTAGATATATCGATGATGAGTCTTGTCAATTAACAATGGCAATTTCCATTTCTATGTCGATACGATATATTCTGGTGAGCTTGAGATAAAAGATACCACAGATTCCGACACATCTGACACATACTTGGATATATTTACTTAAAAAAGACGGCAATGGTAAACTAACAACCAAGCTCTATGATAAACGTGATGACTTTAACTTTTCTATCGTCTACTTCCCTTACTTGTGCAGCAATATACCTTCATCACCTGCATAAGGAGTTTATATCTCTCAGTTGATTCGATACGCAAGAGCATGCTCTACGTATGAACAATTCCTAAAACGAGGTAAATTATTGACAAACAAGTTGACGAAACAAGAATATCAGCAGTCTCCTTTAAAGTCATCATTTCGAAAGTTTTATGGTCGATAAAATGACCTTGTCAGCGAATACAATTTATCATCGATTCAAATGCTGACTGGCGTTTTTCATTCTAATTGTAAGTCCATTATTTATACACTGAATTGACGACGGATTTTCCGTTATTTCCCGATCATGACAAGGGGCACACGGCGGGTGTGACCGGTCGACAGGGGATGCTCACTCCTCCATGGCTCCTGTTTTCGGAGGTCCGTGTTTGCTCAGCTCCTATTTTGTATTGTTTTGTGGACTTTGGTATTGAATACTGTTCGTTATCTCCATATCCTTTACTAACAGAATTCAGATTGCCAGCTTATGATTTGACAGGAAGAGGTCTACATGTACACGGCATGAATGATGTTTCATCCATCAGTACAACTTTTGTTTGATTAATATTTATCACTACAAGAATGTGACATGAAATTGAATATCTTAGGTATAAGAAAACTGACTTGAAAACGATTAGAGTTTTATAGAGGAGACAACAAGAGTATGCAAAAACATTACAAGAGAATGCAGTAAAATCAACAACTTGATTAAAAAATATTATAGTTATAATAAAAAATGAGCATATATATCAGTTTGGATGGAATATAGTCAACCTAGATTTTGTGGAACATCGTTTGCTTTTGGACAAAGTTTTACTAGTATTATGAAGATTAAACATAGAAACAGTTAGTCTGTTAACAGTTCTAGATGAAACTTGTGGAGATAACGAACAGTATTCAAGATCAAAAGCCCAGTAAACAATAAAAAAGGAGCAGAGCAAACATGGACCTCCAAAACATCGGAGATGGGATCAGGTGCCATTGAAATTTAGATTTGAAGCTAGGTATGCGGTAGTTTTGTACTGGTAGCAAAGATTCATAGAGGAAGCAAAAAGGAAAAACAAAAATATTTCTTTGCAACAAAACATTTAACCTGGAAAAAACAACTTTGTCTGAAAATCCAAGAAAAAGGAAAGAAGTAACTTTATAATATAATCTGCCTAAAAGAAACAGAGAAAAACGAAATTCATTTTATTAGATAATTTATTGATCTTGAGCAAAAAGAGAACTACACACAAGATACGTACAGATACGTATTATTAAGAATACCGATGAAGTCATAAATATCAGATTCTTGATAGACAGAAAAGAGTAAAGGCAACTTTAAAAAGATTGTAAATATCATACGTTGTGATCAAATATATTCATTTTATTACATGAGATAATCCTCAAAAGACAAAGAATGTGTCTGGGTTAATGTAGGTACAAAAATGACGACATAATTCAGACATTAACATTCTATTTGGGCCATAACTGTGAACAAAATTTCAAGAGGATTCAAACCAGTCATACCAAAAGAGTTCATATGTATATAAATAAACTCTGTTCGTACAACTGGTTATTTAGAGGTGAGTATAATTTTGGCCTATTCTGTCTATAGTTTAAAATTCACCAAAATAATAATTCGCTAAATTGAAATACTTTCAGCTATACAACTGCACGTGCAAGCGTGAATAAAAAAAGTTTCCAAACAACATGAACAGATGGAATAGGATAACCAAAATTATATTCGCCAAAACTGAATGGTATACCTTGTAGTTTCAAATCCGATGAATACAGAAACCGTCAAAAGTCATGCTAAACGGATATATACTTGTATGTATATATTAAAAAGTATCGGATTATCTTTTATGGTAACAAGATACTGGGACAAGATCAAGATCTTTGACATAGTGAAACGATGATTTCAGAGAGCTAAATATAATTACCATTAGTTGTTTTACCAAGACCCAAAACTTCCAAACTTTCCATGCTTCCTTTCTTCTCAGCTTCAACTAATTCCATCCTGTATGATTACACACAATCGAGTTTTTAATTTATTTAATTTAACAACAACAAAATGTTCTTCAATTTAATGTGTTGATGTGATGAAAGCTACTTACATTTTTTCTTGTAGGGCTTTTTCTGAAATTAAAATTAAGATAAATGCCTATTTCCTTCGAATACGGCTAAAACAGAGCTTACTATTAGTGAATACATACGCTTAAATCTGGTTCGGCACATGCAGATGACCCCCACCACTATTGCCAGAAGTATTAGTCCCCCTATACCACCTATCACAATCTCCAATAGCCTGGACTGCCACTCTGGAACTACATACAAATTATGTATGAATTAGTGTTCTCTGCCTTTATTTATATCCAAAAAAGATGTCTACCTTACTGAAACAACATACATGTAGAACTTATATGAAATTTAGTATTCTTTGTCTTTAAATTGGATTTAATCCTTGAGATCTACTAGAATTTGAAATGTGAGGATTTAATCATGATAAAATAAGTTATAAAAGTGGCAATAGGTATATACATCATATGCATTAGTAAATCTATTAAAAAGGTCTTTGCAAGAAATACGAGTGAATATTTACCGAAAGAAAGTACCTTTCTCGGCCCTAAAGACTTTTATGGAGAACTCGTAGGAAGTATATCCATGAGAGTTGTTAATGTACAGAATGTAATCCCCTGTCCAATTAGACCTTATGTTGTCGAGACGAATGTTTGCTGAGTACACAGGAGTTTCTCTAGAAATTCCTATATCCTTAGAAAACGACTTATATGTCCTGTTGAAATCAACTCCAGCTTGAAGTTGGCTTCCGTCGTTAGACTTCACGATGGTAAGACTTTGAATGGGAGGAGGAGAACTAGCTATTGTAATACTGAACAGAATAGACTGTCCTTTGGCGACATGGAATAATTTCCGTTTATCCGGTAAAATTAAAAGTGGCGCACCTAGTTTGAATTTAAAAAAATAGTTGTTCATGTTGACATACTGAATATAAAAGCACTAGACAAACCATAATGGAAATATAACATATATAGCATATATAACCATTTAATACAATTATACTATATTGTTTACAAAACTACAACGTTCTGTATAAATCAAATTAAAAATAATAATGTATCAGTTGCATAAATTTTATAAATTAATATTGTTTTGATTAATTCTTAGATTGAACTACAAACATAGACTTTTAAAACTTATTTGTTGATTTCACCTTGGACGTCTACATGAACTGTCCTTGTCAGATTCTTCCTTCCGTTATGGGTCGTATTAGTACCACACGACTGATAGTGGATGGTACAAACATAACTTCCTGTGTCCGCATACGAGGCACTGACAATGAGGAGAGAAGCTGTGTTGCCGAGAGTAATTCCAGAACCATGTTTCTGCCAACTTGTGTCGACGTCCTTCATGGCTCCCCTTGCTGTGCAGTTAAGTTCAGTACTGCCCGATATGTTCACGACAGTTATATTTGGCCATTCGTCCAGTTCTATCAAGTACAAGTCTCTTTTGGAATTTGAACAAAAAAAGTTGTATCTATTTCTATGGTGAGGCAAATCATATGACTTGTAAATATGCATGCAACAGATTCAAATGCCGATTTGAATTCGAAAATTAAAAAAAAAACCATTAAACCTGGCACTGTAGATATATTTCTTATTGCCATGTCATCGGGCATAGTTTGGTCTCTATCACAATCGCCACTCACTGCCTTAAAGGTACTCTCAGAATCCAGAGTAAAATTGACTCGAGTGTTGTTAATGGAGACTGTTAATGCTAGGGACTCGTTGATCTCTCTGGAGATGGTTGTAGAACACGTGACGACTGAGGACGACCAGGTCACGTGCAATACACAGCTCTCAATGTAGGCTTCAAATAGATAAAAGTTAGAAATTCAAATAGTCAAAATATTGCACAGCTTTATTTTGAGTTAGCAAAAATAGAACAGATTTAAGGAAAGGATAAGAGGATGTATTTTTCGATTTTATCAGTAGGTTACAAGTGAAAATGAATTCAATGTGTATAACATGAATGTCTGATATAGTTATTTACACTGCTGAAAACTAAGTGTTATTGTTGATGAATAATAACATCTACACTGTATATTATATTCCGGAGACGGAGACAGCTCTTGAAAATTTTACTATAGTTTCAGTACAAACTTATTTTAACACCATAAAAATATTTTCATTATAATCAAAATATTTGTAAATGTACTTTTATGATTTTGTTGTAAGCGGATGCACAGAATGTGAATTTGGCACTCATTGCATCTACTATTTGCTAATCTAGATCCACCATCGAAAAATCCTAATAAAAGACAACAAAATGAAAAGACAAATATTACAAATGTGGGGTTTACCTGTGAATGGTGCACTGAACGCTGAAGTCCATGTAGTACAAAGTATATACATCAGCAGATAGAAATACATTTTTAATTTTGGTATTTTCAAATTAACTGCACGTACATAAAAGGAAGGATATACATCTGTTTGTCATGACCGGGAAATAAATCACATTGCGAGGTACTAGTTCCTTTTGCAAGATAGTGTAATTAAAACTGTATGGCTAAGTATAACATACCATTATTATTATGATATGTACATAGGTAATTTTTGAAGGAATCAAACAGGGGCGTAGAATTGTTTTAAAAGCCAGCAGGATTACTCCTAATTATATTTGAAATGATAATTATATTCATTTGCGTAGATGCACCTAAATATATCAAATATATAGAAAACAAAAATTTAGCTTAGGGATCAGAACATACTAGGACCTCTTAAAACATCAGGGGCGGGATCAGGTGTCATGGAGAAGTAAGGTTCCCTCCGTCAACCTGTAATAACTGCGCTGTTCCCTGTCATATTAACAGAAAATCCATAGACAAGTCCGTGTGAAAGTAATGACCTAACAATTTGTATGAAAAAATTCAGTATAACATTCAATCTATGATATATTGTAATTGCTGATAAGACAATTACATTATTCATATGAATTGCAAAATGTTGTTTTTTAAGGAAACTGTTGATGTCTTTGTTTATATGACTTGCTGGGCATTAGCTTGCCTTGTTTAAGAAAGTGTTCGTACATAGAGTATGCATATCATATCAACTGGGAGACAAAACGTCATAGGCAAGTGATTATGGCATGTATATAAATAAAGGAAAATAAAGAAAGCAGACGTTAGAGAGGTTGAAATCGTTAGTTTACCACTATCATAAAGTTTTGTCGTTACGTAACCCTTACCGCCTTTTTCTAGTAAAATATCCAAATGTAAAACACTGAGATGCAACAAATTCTGTGTGGTATCTTTTATTTCGAGTTCAAGGGGGAAATCAAATAAATGTACAAAATGAATATTTTCAATATATAAAACACTAAAACGTTAACTATTTGTCAAAATGTTGAATTGAAGCCATAACAATGTAGAAGTTTTTGAGTGATTCCTGTTTCATATGAACTACATGTACTAATATAGGCCCTCTTATATCTGGGTGCAATGTGTACCCATCGTAATTCTGAAGGATTGCTGAAAGTCTTGATTCCAAAAAACTATAAAGATGTTGTCAATAAGGAAGTCAAGCATGCTTTTATTATCAACGACAGACTATATATGCGTACAATAAGAATTCTATCTATTGTGTTTTTTTTAAATGGACTTTATAAAATGGACTGTATAGAGTGTTTAAAGTCGTACAAGTACACAATATGCTAAGAATGTAATTATTTAATAAATAAATAAAATGTTACTCCATTTGATTCGCAGTAGCCTGATTTATGCAATAACATAAGACCATCAGCTGGTTAGAATTCGTTCTCACGTATATGTATATTATAAAGGTTATATATTACAGTAAAACCGTCTTTAATTATTGAATAACTTTCTTGCGAAAATTAGGTAAAGCAAACATTTAGTTCTCTAAAGTAGTTTGATCATTTTCATTAGCGTATTGACGGCTTTTTTAAATATCGTAAAAAATAATGAATACAAATTACATAATGTAGTTTTTTTTCTTTTTTGAAAAAACAAACAAACGTTTTTTATATTTGCAATTATAAGATCAAAAAGCACGTAGGCCTATATACATACACATCATCACACAAACAAAAACATATTGTGAATCTACCCAAAATAAAAGTTGTTCACGATATTATCTAAAGAAATACGAATTTTAAATATAATAATATATAATTATATATAATCTAATAAATCAGCATTGTCCATCTACTTTACAATTTAGTTGTACAATGAAAGTTCTAAGCATTTTTTTTTGGACTACGGTGCCACAATTTTTAGACGGAGGCTTAGCCTCCGCTCTATTGGTACCGCTCAGCTGCGGCGGAAGGGAATTTGCGATCGCCATCTCGCGGCTAATCACGTTAACTTTGATTAGCTTGGTCCCCCGGCTCATCTTTTCCAAGGCAGGAGTACATGAAGCAAAACAGGGACAGGGAACCAGGCTAAACTTTGATAAACTGGCCTGCCTGTCTGATCGGATATGTGCTGTATACAGACAGGTGATCAGTAATGTTTAGAGTCCGCTGCTGACACGCTCATTGGCTGATAAAAACTCTCGCTGACATAGAATTTAAATTGTCGGGGAAACCAAAACAGATCACCGAGTGCAGTTCTCTGCATCTAATTCGGTCACAATATTTTCCACATACAATACATAATTTTTTTTTCTCATGGACCTATAATTATCTCACACCTTTCACCTCACCTTGGGGATTTTAATTAGTTTGCGAAGGTCTTATCACATTAATACCCTACATTACCTAGATAGAAGAAATCTGCATCATTGTTTCATTGAAACTGACATATTTTAAATGTTCACTCACTGACTCAGCAGAGAGCTGCGGCTTGTCTGTTTATAGCTCTGCTGCATCTATTTTTAGAATTCCTTATCACATGTTTCAGAAGTTAGATGGGACAAACTGACCCACATGTTTCTATGTTTACATGACCAAAACCAAAACAGTGGATTGAATCTTACTCTGTGGTGTAAATTTAGTAATATTATGGCTAACCTGTGCAAAAAAGGATGCAATAAAACACTGTTGTCATGGAATCTGCAATAGTGACTCAAAGTATGCCCACAAAAAATATATGCAAGGAGTTGAATTTATTAGATTTCCCAAACCTTGGAGAGATATTGAAAAAGTGTCAAGGATGGGTGAATGCTTGTAAACGGTTCATTGGCGGATCCAAGGGAGGGTGGGGGGGGAGGGTTCCGGGAATTGGAAGCCTACTTTATTTTCTGTCTAGTGGAGAGAGAGAGAGAATGAAACGTTTTCCGAGAATAAATAAAAATACATATATTTGTACGTCTAACTTATGTATTGAATAAATAGATTCTCACACATTAATTTTCTTCCACTCACTTTTCTTTCAAATGATTTGATTAAAACGGTTCTATATTATATGAACCGTTTTAATCATATCATTTGAAGGAACTAACATGCAACTCTTTGTTTTAAACTCAGCCTGCATCCACCACGGATTTTTTTTTTCAAACTCCAAAAGAAAATTCTTTTTACTCTTTGGAAATGCTGCAAATCCATTCAATTTTAATTAAGGCTTCAGCAGTTTTTTATTTTTTCTTTAAATTCGGACTGGGGGACCAAAGAAATAAATGGACGTAAACAGATATTATTTACCGAAACCTAAGATCTTCCATACGTGTGTGTGAATCTTTGCTTGAGAGTGTGTATGGGGGGGGGGGGTTATATGGACAGTACAACCCTGGAACCCCTCTTTCAAGAGTGGCTGGATCCGCCTCTGAAACGGGAAGGATTTTCAACGAAAATGGGTATTATCCGTAAAATCGCGTATAATACTGGGTATTAGGGTATCATTGAATCCACAATATCTAGTCAAGGCGGTGTAATCACTTTATAAAACTTGAACAATGGGATGGCATATTTTGCGGAGTCAACTTTCACTTAGATGCAAATGTTTCTAAAGGTATCACCAGTCAAGTAAGAATTTGGAAGTCAGGATTAATGCGCACTGGACAACAAATACCTGTAGAGCTTAGTACATTTCAAGATCTGCACCCAAACAGGCGTTTGTTCTGCTTGATATTTTTCATAATGTTGGAAATATTTGGATCTTCTTTATGTTCATACCCAACACAGCAGAACTATTAATTAAAAGTTGAATGTGCATGTAGATCTATGCATTGTTATATCTGAATGCTTGTATCTCAGCTCCTTTTAGTCCTGAAGAGTTAGAGATCTAAAGTACTTTTTGGCTTTCTCACATTTCAGGAAGCTCTTACCACGAGTCACTAAAGAATTGAAATTGATATAGTTTATTGCAATTAGATTAGTTTGTCCTTTTGATGAAAAATAGGAATTCAGTAAATTACATAATTAAACATTAGACCACGGTAACATAAATGAAGAAGATGTGTTTGTGAAACACTGTTGCCCCCCCCCCCCCTATATATCCCTTACCATTCAAAAGTCATGGCCAAGGTTAAAGTTTTTTCATAAGTATAGAATATCGAAGGTCAAGGTCAAAAGTTTTTTAACATCCAATGAAAAGTCTTACCACAAAAAAAGATATATGAAGTATTAATGTCCTGGTATCTACTTTTCAAAAGATATGGCCGACTACCCTTAGGCAAATGTTGGGGTCAGAATATGAATTAAAAATTCCCAAAGAGACAAACAATCATGTTCATTCCGAGCCTCCGTCTATCAGTACTTTCAGTACTTTGATTTTAAAAATAATTTTATACTGGAAATAAAAAAAAAAATTCGCATAACGTACCGGTATATATGTTATTGACTTTTGACTCTGTATGATACTCTCAATACAAAATTAAAATATTTCAAAAAATTATATGTACCAACTATAATTTTGACATAATTAAAAAAATAACTATAATCTCACAATGTTTTTCAGTACTCTAAAACCTTTTTTCCACCCAAGAAGTGAAATTTAAACTTTTTTCTAACACAATAAAATTTCCGATATCAGAGTATAAATAATTCAAAGCAATCACAAAACTTTTTAAACAGTTGTAAGTGTTTTAATAACATATTTTAAAAAATCATAACTAAAGTCTTTCGGTCTCTACGTCGCACGATAGATTGG